ATTTTATAATTATACTTAAAATGCGTTGTAAAAATGTATATACGTCAATTCCTATCGTTGAAAAATAAATAAATACACGTGCTACAGCTACACGGTTGCAGCAATCCACAGCGTGGCTGTTCAAGATTATATTCGATGGATGACATTGTTTCATGTTTGAATCATTGAATCACAATTTATAAACTTATGGTTTTGTTCGGGAATCGATTACCGCACAATCGTTCTTGGTCAACAACGCGGCTAGCCTGTACTCCGTAGTCCGTAAGTAGCTGCAGCCTGCAGCCTGCTGTAGTTGCCTGCTGGACGACGTGATAACAGACGAGCCAGTCAGTCGTGAACGTCGCCTATTTACATTAGTTATTATTATTATTACTATTTATTACTATTATTTTTATTATCATTATATTATTATATATATTTATTTATTATTATTATTCGCGTAATCGACAACCGTGTTGCTCGTCTTGTTGTTTTCCACACATTTGCGTTTCAACATTATTGTCTCCTCTCGCCCGGCGGGGGGTCCGTCCATCGTAGTTGTTATCGCCTCTGTCCGTTGTTTTTGTTCCGTGTAGACTCTATACTGTTAGACCGCGGTAGACTGGTAGCGTCGTCCGCAGTTGTACTGCACTAGCACGTACGATTTTCTTCTGCCGTCCAAAATATTGACAATTTGACATCACTACACGTCGCTCTTCTGGCCGCACCAACGTTTTTCAGTACGAGTTTCGATTTATTTGTGCGCGCGTTGAGCGTTGGTTTCAGCGATTCGAGCTGCAAGTCAAGGTCAGTTTATCGTATACAATACTAATAAGATCAATGTTTTACTCGACCAAATATTTTATTTATGACATACACGACTATCGTAACGCTGTTTGGACAGCACTAGCTCAGCATTCAGTTGCGTGCGTGTAGCTGTAGGTTGCGATCTTCATCGAATGCTATTGTCTATTCGATGACTAGGTACTAGTCAAAATATCAAACATTGTTTTTGTTGTTTTTATTATTACCATTAAGAGTTACCTGCTATAGTTGTTATCGATGACAGAAATACTGGTCCCTGTCGTGTTTGCCACTACGACGTCTTTGTCGATTATTAACAACAATTTTTTTTCACAGATCATGATTTACATCGAAGGTCAGATTTATTTCAACTGCCAGTTACATGTTGTATGCCCAGAATTACTGTAACGGTTTACCAGAAAATAAGTAAATAAATGGGTTCTAAATACATTTATATAATATGGTCTGACATAGTTTTATTGGTCTATGCAATGTTAATGTAATAACTTCACGTTAAAAATTAATATTTTGCAAGCATTATTGCCAACGTTTGAAGCATAGAATAATAATAGAAGTATTTTCAGTTTAGTAAATCTATTGTAAACTAGTTTAAAAAAATGATTATAATATGTTAATGACTTTAACCAAATACTTCATCAGTGTTAAAATCTAGTCATTTTGCTTAATGTGGTTTAGTTAATTCACTTTTTCCCAGTATGTAAACATTAACATTTAACATGTATATTTAACATTTTAACAACACTTTTTGTATAATATGATTAGCTGATAAGATAATATATTAAAGTAGAGAATACAATATAACACTAACTGTATAGGCCAGGGGTCACCAAACTTTTTTTATGGCGAGTCAATCTCTGATATGCTTAAGCATCACAGGCCAAAAATTTTTATGTAGGGATATTAAATTTTTATTATTAATATTGAAGATAATTAAGAATTATTTTTAATAATTAATACATTAAAAACAATGACAATTAATATATTTTCATAACATCAATTAGCATGTCAAGGCCAGTTCGAAAAACTTGGTGGGCCAGAACCGGGCCACGGGCCGTAGGTTGGGAACTCTGGGTATAAGCTATGATTATATTCAGTGCTGTAACTGTTGTGTATAATATTATATTAGATAATTTTAAAAGAAAATTATTTAGATTAGATCAATTAAGTCTCACAATGTCAGGTACATATGAAATTAATAAGTAGCATATCATGTGTACATATTGATAATAATAAAAAATTTATTTTATTTATTTCAGCATTATTAAATAACATATTAACTTAAACTAAGAAGAACTGATAATTATACCAACTATATCGAATTCAATTTGAATTAAACATTGTAAACTGCTAGTAGAAAATTATTATTGTATGTTATGATATATCTTTTAATATCAACGTTCAAAAATTGTTTAGTAGTATACTTATATAATATACAGTAAAACTCGCTTAAGACGTTTTCCCGCATAAGACGCTATTTTCCGTCGGTCTCTATATCATCTATATCCCTATTTCATTCCCGCATAAGACTCTTTCCCGCTTAAAACGCGCTAGAGGGCTGGTCCCTTAAAGAGCGTCTTAAGCGAGTTTTAATATATTATATATTATTTTAGTATTTTAGAACACTAGCTTACATAACATTTTTATGACAGAAGCAAACTATCTGAAAAAACAATATTATGACTATACCTTAAATACTATGCCACAATAATAAGGAGGGGAAATTGGGGATGAAAAAGTTTTCAAAACCACCAAAGAGTTATTAACCTAAAAAGGAACAATTACACACACAAAATCGGAATGTTTTGATAAAAAATGTGTCATTTTAAACACACCTCAGAATAAGGCTACTGCCACCATTTACACTATAAACTCATAGCTACCTTATGAGAAAAAAGATCCAATAAAATGTAGGTACAGTTTGTGAAGTACAATATTGTCCGCTAGTCACTAGGACAAGATGAGAATACCAAGTACTAAAAGAAATGAATATAGACAACGTATTATAATATCATGTATAACACATTAAAAACCAACACTACTATTAATTTTATATTTTTAATATTCTGATTTGTCCACAAATCAAGTATGATATCTCAATCTCTATTCAACAAATCACAAAATACATGCATAGGCAGAACATACCAAAACATGTACAAAAATAATTAAGAAGACGTGATACCCGCATGTGTTGTCTCAGTCTTACAAGTGTGTAACATAGCAAATTCTACGCAAAGCAGAACACTTGTAGCTCCGTTAGCTTGAAAATTAGTGTGAATTGACCTCTTATAAAACCTAAAGGTAAGATTATTATCTAGACAACCTCATGGGATTTTTATTATATTTTAATTTTTAAGCAAGCTATGAGTATTTTAAAATTGTAAATTGTTTATAGATCTTTAAGTACTCATAACAAGCTTAAAAATTAAAATATTATAAAATGCACATGAGGTTGTCTAGGTAATAAATAATAATCTTACCTTTAGATTTTATAGGAGGTTAATTCACTCAAATTTTTAAATTAACGTTGCTACACGTGTTATGTTGAGCGTAAAATTTGCTATGTTATGCACTTGTAAGACAACACATGCATTCCTCTTAAACTTAAGACTACACTACTATGTCCATTATTAAAATCCAAAATAAACCTTAAAAACATTATGCTAATAGACAAAACAGTCTAATATTATAAGGTCAATTCGTACCTACCGAATTCAAAAATGGAGTAAAACCTAAGCATCAAACCTTCACACAATTTGAAGCATTCCAATATATTTGCCTATAGCCAAATAACTACAATTCCATGGTATATTTACACAAAGATTTGAAAATTCAAACACTCAATAAACTTGCCTAATTTCACTACAAAAGATTTCATTTTCGGTTAGCCACTGCCAGTAACGTTTGTAAATGTATATACACGGTTTCTCTGTATCATATTCTCATATTAATTTATGTATATATATATAGTAGAACCTCAATGGTTTGGAAGATATGAGACCAGAGGACTGCCGGATTAACTAAAACGTTAATGGAGATTCACATAAAAACGCATTTTACTTATTGCAAAACCTAAATTTATTTTTTATAACAATTTTTAAATAATACATACATACTAATTTAAAATATAAATTCGGTTCATTCAGACTTCATCAGTTAGTTTTATCAATTTGCTATAATAATTGTATGGTTATTACTTATTATAATAAAATGCTGCCGGATTACTGGACCTACCAGATTATTGTACGAGCTTATTTTGCATTTTATAAATTAAATGTCAGTGGATTTACCTTATCTTACTCCATTAAATGTAAACTACACATACTTTTAAAATTATATAGTAATATATACTATATAATTTTGGATCTGTATATTTATTTAGTGAAAATTACAATTATTTGTCCGTGTTAAAAATGTGTGGTTTAATTGTATTACAATTTATTATAAAAGCTATTTTATGTAACCAATAGGAACCATATACAAATACAAAATATTTTATTTTTGTGAACCAACAAATCCCTTTGTAATCCCCTTTTTTAAATTAAAAAAAATTGCTAAGAAAGCACATCTTTTGGTATAGAATTATGTACTTATGTACCAATTTTCAGAACCAAAAGTGCTATAAACTGGCTGTGGATCTTAACACACACACGCTTACAAACATTGTGTTTTATTAATGTAGAATATAGATAGTATAAAAAAATGTATACAATGTGTCCCGGCTGGTGTCATATGTATAACCGTAAATTAATTAAAAAACACCTATTAGGGTAGTTCTAGCTCTTATTTTTTTAAGCAAAACCAAACTACCCTTTTTCTGAATTTTTTTAAAAATCAACTCTTTAATGTAATTTAGTTTTAGTTTTAAAACTATTTTATTTTGTTATCAAACAATACCAGAAATGTACACTTTATTTTGATTAAATTAAAAAAAATTTGAAAGTAAGTATTAAAAAACTACAGGAGTAAAAACCGTTTTTTTTTGTAATTTTAGGTAAGCTCCTATCATATGATCACTTTCTCCGGGACACATTGTATATCTAAATACTTTATTTGACCCTCCAGATACATTATTGTCATAATTTAATAATAACTTATTTGATCTTTCATTTCATATTCATAAATAATAGTCCATAAATCTTTGTATTATTTTTATTTGTTTTAGTTGACTATCAGATGTTGTACAACTTTTATCAAAAATGTTTAAAAAGGCAATGGCATTTATTGCCTTAATAGCCTTTGTGACTACAGTAAAATGTGAAATTACCATATATAATAGTGAACAACAACAGCTTGATTTACAGTTTTCAGATGCTCAATCTGATTTTGGAGCGGATATACCTTCAGAAGGCCTTAAAGTATTTCAATAATTTACAGATAAACTCAAAATTTAATTGTATATTTATTTTAAATTGTAATACTGTTTAAGGGTTACATTTTGCCTGCTAACCCTGAAGATGGTTGTACTAAAATTGAATCTCCGCCCAAAAGTGGAAGTTGGTTTGCCCTAATTAAGAGAGGAAATTGTAATTTTGGCGTAAAAGTGAGGAATGCTCAAAATAGCAACTATACCTTAGCCATTGTATTCAATGTCAACTCTAGTACGATTGGTAAGTTCACATTTTAAATACCTAATCTTATAACACAAATAATGGTGATATTTTTATTAAATTAAATTACATTACATTAATCAATAAAATTACATTTAATCCATAATAGTTAGGTAATAAGGTTTAAGTAAGTATATTAAACACACTTCAAGTTGTTTGAAAATTTATTACTGCATTTAATTTAACTATTAATTAATTTCTACTTTTTTGTATATTAGTGCCAATGCACGGTGAAAATTCAAGTGATATAGTGATTCCGTCAGTTTTTGTTGGTGATAGCACAGGGCTTATGTTGAGAGACTACTATGATTATACCAACAAGTAATAATTATGAAATTTTAATGAATGAGATTTTATTTTTAAATTAATTAAATTTTATTAAATTAGGTTACATCTGATTCTGCTTTTTTTTTCAATAAATTAAAATCTAATTATGTATTATCATCATGACAGGGGCTATAGTAACCCCGGAACCCCAGAGGGATAATCACCCTAAAAATTCTCTAAAACGTGCCCTTTAATAACATTAATATAAAATCAAAATTATAGTATTATATTATTTCCTGAAATAAAATATTTTTTGAGGTTGAAACATTTTTATTGCGTCAGAAAAACAGCCATGATTTGGTCCATAATAACTTTTATAATAACCAAGTTTGAGTTTGAAAAAATAATTTAAAGTTCGCTTTGTTTTTAAAAATCATGGTTTGACTATCACTACATAATAACAAACCTGGAGTTTCAATTTTGAAAACCATAAATCATTACAAAATAAAAATATATCTGAATTTAAAAATGTAATAATACTATTTTGCTTAGACTTTTAAAATATTTTTTTAAAGTTCCTTGCAATAATTGGCAGTAATTTTAAAAACGCCAGTGGCTCATTCTAGTCAAATTTCTTATTAAACTTGTTTACAATTTGTCCTAATCCGTAGTACTATGTAATTTTCTTATGACCATTGTAGGCTTAGAAAAGCTTCTTTTTTTAAACAATAATATCAAAACTTAAAAAAATACACGAGTGTTATTTTATATATAAAAAAAAAAAATATATATAAAAAGTTAAACATTTTAAATAATATACAGCAGATAGTAGAAAATCTTGCAGTGAAGGCAGCTACCTCGTGCAAACCCTTATACTAATTATCAAGGTTTTAAACTATTCAATGTTTGCCATAAAGACATTTTTTTTTATCTTAAGTTACAAAAAAAAACATCTTTAGCTTCGATTACAATAATTTAAATATTAATCTTGTAATATTAAAGAGCATGGAGTGGGTTTTTTTTAGTATGTTTATTGTTTAACATAAGTATTTTTGTAACAAGTCACAAAAAAAAAAAAATTAAACAATTCAAATATTCTATTTTAAAAGTGATTCCCATGTTAGTATTATTGTTAGCTAAATATAAAATCATATAATTTATAATGTTTCTTTTAATTAAAGTTTTATGTACAGTGGTCATTAATTATTATTCAGAAATCAAATTTTGCATTATTTGAATACTAAAGGACAACGTTATCTATGTTCTATTGTTGGTTTTTAACTAGTATTTTCCCTAATTATAGTTATCATTTGTAAAAAAAAAATATATAAGTTGTTGTATATTATTTAAGTATAAAAATAAAACAATGGCTATTGAAAACTGGAAATTTGATTTCTTCATCTGACTACAATATTACAGGTTGAAAGTACATTACCTGTGCATTATGTTTTTCATTATTAATATTAATACAATTCGAAATGATTTAGTTATTCTTAAATAATACATATCAATTTTTTTTTAGATTTTATGTGATTGTAGACAACAATCAATCCCCATTTGATATAAACTTGAATTTGTTGTTGCCATTTGCTGTGATTGTTGCGGTATGTTTCTTCGCAATGCTTGGGTTTATGGTAATATATATATATAAGCTCTGTATTTAATGGATAAAAATTGCATATTACCTATTTTAAAAAGTACAATAAGTATTATACCTAATGTAAAATAGTCAAAACAAATATACAGCTCGTTCGGTGGGACCTATTATCTTGAATACATAAATAATATTAAAATATATTTAAATTATTATTTAATTTAATTTGTTTTAAGTTATCATACCAATTTGATTTAAATGGGATGCTTATGAATACTTTGACCAAAAATTTTTAAAGTCTTCAGTGTTGTGTTCACTAAGTGTGGTGTAGATAAACTCACTAAACAAAGTACACATTAAATATTGCAGCCAGACCAATAATAAAAAACATATATTATACATATTTTACATTTTATATATTATAATATATGTATTTTATTATTGAAATAATTAGACATCAAGTTTCAATTAATTATTTTGGTAGTCGATTATAATATTAAATTTTAGTTGTTTACTACAATTTACAATTATGTCAGTAAAATTATTATAAAAATGTCTATTACAGTTTCATTAAATCATTAAATTAATAAAAAAAAAAAAACATTGACCTATTTGTTTATTGCTTGATTGACTATTGTTGATATTAAAATTATGAGTAATTTACAGTTGATTAAATGGATTAAAGATCGAAGACGAGCATTTAGACATCGATTACCTGCATCTATTCTTCGTAAAATTCCGATCTCAACTTTTGTGAAAGGTGATCCATATGATACTTGTGCCATATGTTTAGATGATTATATGGATGGAGACAAACTAAGAATTTTGCCTTGTGCTCATGGTAAGTATTTATTTTTTATATATTATGTGTGTGATATAAAAATTGTTTTATTAAATTGTTTTAAGCTTATCACTGTAAATGTATTGATCCATGGTTAACCCGAAACCGACGATTTTGTCCTATCTGTAAACGTCGTGTTTATGGTAATAACGAAGATCTACATGCTGTGGCATATTCTTCAGATACCGATAGTGATGAGCAGCCCAATGATAGGACTCCATTAGTTGCACCTACTATGAATAATTCAAATTCATTGGGTGTTGGTACATTCCGTAGTTTCAGAGTAAGTACCAATCATTTTTATGTTGATGTACAATGTTTCACAAGTGCTTTTACAGGGACGTGTATTTACTCGTGGTAGAACTGCTAACACTGTTGAAGTGCATGCTCCAGTTTTACCGTCAATAAATGTAGCTAACGCAGACTATGATACAGTTTCATCTCAAACAGATTCATCAGACTCAATGTTATCAGATTATCTAAATCTGTATGATCCACCACCAGCCCGCATAGAGGTTTCATCATCCTTGTCAAGTAAGAGAAAAAACAATTTGTTTGTATTTTATACCTTTACATTTATATGTTTATCTCAGATTCAGAGATTAGTTTGGCTCCAGAACTGATGAACAACACAGAACCAAGTAGATCAAATATGCAAAATCATATTGTTTAAACAGCTTATCAACAAAAATCCTAATAAAGTTTGATTATCTTTTTATTGACTTTATAAATTATGTATCACTTTTAAAAAGTAACAAGATATGATTTATTTTTCATAGTTAAAATATTGTTTTAAAAGCTATGATTTATTACTATAAGTTTTTTTATCATATAAATTATTTTTAGCAATAAATATAAACATTTTAAATAACTTAATCGAAAAATAAACAATAAAACAGACTGCTCAGCTTCAAATTTCAAATATTGTTCATACTCTTATTAACAATTATTTTCATATAATATACTTAAAATTATTTTAATTATTCGTTTTCTGATATTAGTTGAAACAATAATTATTAATTCAACATGTGATAATTGTTATGATTATAAAAAATAGTTTTGTTAATAGTATTGATATATGTATAAGAAAAATACTATAAATTTAATAAATATGTTTGTAATTCTATCATTCATCTATTTTGGTAAGTTGACAATATCAAACGTACATTATAATATAATGTTCTGTCAATCCTATATTTACTTATTATGTGTAAATTTTTTTTTAGTTTTTTTTGTGGTATTTTAATATGCTTGTCAGAATATCTGTTAGATTATGTATATTCTGTATAAGAATAATATGTTTGTTTAAATAGTTTTAATGTACCTGCAAGAATGATATATAATTTATTTAAGATTATGTATTGTTTTTTTATTATTTTTCATTATATTTTTAAATATTTAAATACTTTTTATAATGTATATTATTATTTATATTCTCCTTAAATTGTATTTGTGTATGGTACAATATAATGTACATTGTGTATAAAAATATTTGAATACATTTTTGTAGTAAAGAACTACTTAAAAATTAAACTAAAATATTAATTAACTCTCGCAATTTTCTTTTAGTTATTTCTAGAAAAAATCTTAATTTACTTATTTCTTACCATATTTTGTTTAATTTTCACTGTAATCACTGATTAATCTACCTTTGAAAATGTTCAAGTACCTATTCAATAATTAACTCTAAAAGTCTAAAAATACTTTACAATTCATAAATAAAGACAACTATTGTCGTGTTATACTTAAATTACTCACTAAAGCACAAACATGACTAAAATGGAACATGGTATAAAATCTTACTTTATTTAATCAAATATTGTTGTGAGAATATATTTTATATTCTTTAAATACCTATTAAAAAACAGTTTCTAATTGTCAAAGACGAGTAAAATTCCCCTTTCATTATATTAATATTTATAAATAGTTTATAATCTCTTTCCTTTGGTTCGTATAATCCAGTACCTCTAGAGGCAAGACCACGAATTAAGATATACCTTAATATAGATATATCCTAATTTGTGGGCAAAACCATAATGCTGTAAATAAATCTCTTTTTTTGTCTTTTTTTATTTACATTTTTGATACTGAAAAACACTCATGGGTGCTCATGCTCTTGTTACCTTTGACAAAAAAAATTTATACTCGAACATTGGAATTTTCATAGATGTATGAATATAATAATAATATAATATATAATATTCACATTGATTTAACTATTTAAAACAATGAATTGATTAGAGTAAAACCACGGCTTGAATCCGGTTTCAAAACCTATTTCAGAAACTGGTACAAACAGTCACAGTTTTTTTTTATAAAAAAAAGTTAAAATCTTCACAAAATACGGAAAAAACATGAAAATGAGAAAATTATTTTGAGTTAAAAATTCAAAAAAATTTTTATTTTTAAATCTAAAGTTTAAAAATGTAATACAAGATTCCTCATAAGTTTGTCTACCTTTATCAAAAAAAAATGTCTACAAGAAAGTCACATTAAATTTTTATGAACGTTTTAAGTCATATTTTTACAACATTGGATATTCTCTCGATTTCTCGTGTACCTGGCAATTTTGTTATTTTGTTTTAATTCAAAAACGAATAACTGTATATACATGAAAATTTGATTGAATGTTTAAATTCTCATTTTCTATACACCATAAAATTTTGAAAATATTTTGACTTGTTTTGAGCTTTTTTTACAAACAATTTAAAATTTCAATTTTTAGTTTTTTTTTATGAATATTAATACATTTTTATTTGTTGGGTCAAAAAGCGTGAACATTTAATACAAGGCTCCTGATATATTGTTACAATAGTAGTTTAAAAAGATTAAAAATACAAAGGCACAAGTTTTTTTATAAACATTTAAAGTTTGAAATAGGTAGGTATATAGATGATATAGGGACCGACGGGAAAGCGTCTTAAGCGAGTTTTACTATTTACTGTATTTAAAGTTCAAATTTTAACAAAATTTATCAAATTTATAATTTAATAATTATTTTCCAGTTAAAAATATATAAAATGTTCAACTTTTATATCTAAGGATTGATAATTTAAAACAAGGTTCCACTTAAACAGGTTATATTATATAAATTACTTTATTCACAATAATATCATCAAATATACTTAGTAATGTCATAGGCTGACTGACCGTCTTTGCTCAGAATCGTTTTTCTTATACAATGATATTATATCATTGAATTCAAATTTATCACCATCCATAACAGTGACCCACTTGTAACCTACTAGATATACAGCAGAGCGACCCCCCATTTTCCCACCTTTTTTCTAAAAATCTATATGATAATGAAGTGGTTTCTTGTACTGTTTTTACCATTGAACCATATAATAATATAGGTATAGTTATATATATATATATATATACTATAATAATTTATAGTTCAATGATTTTTACGCGAAGGGCTATTATCAATACATGCGGAGAGTTTTGTCTGAGATAAAAGAAAAACAGTTGTACCTATTATCCAAAATATTTTGTTTTGTATAGTTTGAATTTTTTTTGTTAGGTATTTATTTTTTTGGCATAGTCTCAAATTTGGGAATACCTATATATATATAATATGTACATACAGTAACAACGCAAGAACTTTTTAACCATGTGGGCCAGGCTGGGGCCAAAATGTTTAATTTATATAATTATAAAACAACCTCTAAAATTACACCGATTAATGTGACTATAATAAAGTACCTATAACTTAAAATATTTGTAATATACAATAAATATATTTTGTAATACTAATTCAAAATAACAACAGGCTTACTCAGTTAACATTCCGTTTTTATTAAAATAATATACCTAGATGGCTAGATGGCAATAAATACAATACAAGATAAATATCAAAAACAATTTATTAAACACATTAATTTAATTGAAAATAAATAATAATATACCTAAGTACCTAACACATATTTTATCATCTTTGAATAGTTTACAAAACCAGCTAAAAATTACATATTTTTTAATAATTATATCCACAATCCACATATAATTTATTTTAAAAAATTTCTTTTATTGTTATAAGTTTATAACGTTCAATACAATTATTCTTAATATCATCAATATTTAATGATTTTGCTTCAGAATTGCCAGGACCGGCTCAAGCGAAAATAGTGAACTAGGCGAAATCAAATTTTGCCGCCCCTAATAATATAATATTATCAGTATTTTGAAAATGCCGCCCTCTTACTAAAGTGCTGCTTATGTGCCGCCCTAGGCGTGGGCCTATGTCGCCTATCCCTTGAGCCGGGCCTGAGAATTGCCCATAGTAATTGTGTTTAGATATGCTAGATAGATTCTAGTGAAGCATAGTCGCATGAAGTTTGTCTTTCCAATAAATTTAAGTACACATCATTATGATAATATATTAAAATATTTTTGTATTCTTAATCCTCATAAGTCATGAAAAATTTTCCAACGACCGAATATAATACATTTATTTTTATACCATAACATTTTAATGAATCCTAATTCAATACATTTAAATTTAAGGGTGTGCCTGAAACTTAAATCTAAGCCTAGCCACTCACCTTTAGTATGTATAAATATATATAATACCTAGTGTAATTTATTTAAAAAATATAACATCGAATAAGACTGACATATAGACATATAGTACCTAAATAAATAGGTAGTTCTAAACTTTCGACTTGACATATAATATATTTTATAAGCGATTTCATTCTAAATTTAGCCCCAAACTAATCTAAGGAAATATTTTTAAAAAAAGGTTATGTTAAATAATATTTACATAACAATATATCGCCCTTCGGAGATTATAGTCGAATGCGAAACTGAGACGTTAGTCGTCGGTGTAGGCGCTCACCTCACTCAAACCAAATCGTATATATTTAGGACGATTTGAGCGCATGTTATTGAAATGTCAAAACACAAATGTATAAATATCTATATGTGATTCAGCACTAAAGACAATACTCAATTTCAACGTTTAAGGTAAGTCTATACATTTTTTACTCAAAAGTAACTAGTTACAATGACGTTAATCTTATGTCATTAGCAGTAATCCGTACACGACCGTCTGTCCGTATATCGATGTACAATTGTACATATTTTATCAGATATGATCTAATAGTTGCTGCCTTTATAGACTGCAATCGATGATTATAATTAGTTAAATTAAAAATAATATTAAGACAAAATCGTTTATTTATATAATTATATTAGATTATATTGGGAAAATGTTGTAACTTGTAATTATACATAAATACCTACTTAAATTATTAATATAATTAAATTTTCTGATGTGGATACGAGGGGAAGAACTGTGGTGAAGTAGCACCGCGATATATCCCCCCCCAAAAAAAAAATATAATGTAACCCGTTCTTCTGCTAAGTTACTTCTAAATAATTAACGTAGTTACTCTTGCGTTACTCAAAAATAATAACAACGAAGTTACTTAACGTTACTGAAAAGTGTAACTACGTTACAGTAACGAGTAACGTACGTTACGTTACTACCCAACACTGAGTCTGTTGCATACATATTTTTATTATTATTTACAATTTTAAAAGATGAACTACTGGTGACATTAAATTGCCTACACAAAGCGCCGTCGTTTACTTACGAAAGTTAATAGGATTTAACAAATGGTTTTGAATGTTTTTTTGTCAAAACCATTAGAAATATTTTTATAGGGACCTGTTACGTCATTAACCTACGTTAGTTCATTGGTGGAAATCGGAAGGAAGTTCCCCCTTGTTGAATTTTCCCGATTATTTATTGTGATATTTTCTATTATGAATATAATATTGTCTTTGTGAAGAATATTTTTTTAACTATAGTGAACATTATAATATTTAAACAGACATTTAAAAGGACGCTACACCCGCATGTGTTGTCTCCGTCTTACAAATGTACAACATAGAAAAAACTGTTTTGAGCTGGAAAGAACCGAGAAGGCTACAGTCATAACTCATAACTAAGAAACAAGATTTGCATCACGTAAAAAGTAGAACTTTGGCTGTGCAACGTTGTTTTTTTTTTTGATATGACTTATATGAAAAAAGTTCTTACTGTTTTAAAAATCATTATTGTTTGTGTTTTTCAAACTTGAAAAACTTTTTTCACATAAATGATATCAAAAAAATAAAAACAACGTTACACAGCCAAGGCTCTCCTTTTTATGTTGTGAAAATCTCGTTTCTTAGTTATGAATTTAGCCTTCTCGGTTCTTTCCCGTGCAAAATAGTTTTTGGTATGTTGTACATTTGTAAGACGGAGACAACAAATGAGGGTGTAGCGTCCTCTTAAATTGAAAACAATTTCTCGTTATTCATTTTCCGTGAGTAAACGACAATCCTCGGTCAACTATCACCGCTAAATAATACAAAATATATATAACGTGGAAAAAACATACTTCAATGTCTTCAATGGCCATGATAAGAACTAGTCTATACATAATTATTTACCGATCCACCATTTATATAATATTATATACATGTTATGAAATCGTAACAATTAACAATATATATTAGATTCTGAGTGGAGCAATAAATGTATTGATTTTACAAAGAACTGTGTTTTTTTTTGTGTTTGTGTACACGGTTGGTAGTCAAAATAATGCATCGATTTTCAACTTCAGTAAATTTCTGGTGGAAAATTGAATCTAGTAAGTACATTAAAGAGATCAAAATCGAAAATTCCTAGATGTTTTCAAAAGCATAGGGGAAAAAAAGATAACCGTAGATGCACGGTTTTTTTCATAAAATGTTTAAAACTATTACTTATTAGCATTTTCTATAAACCATAACATGTTCAAAATATCTTTATATATTTTAGATTTGAAAATGTTGTGTAAGATTCCTCATTAGTATTTCTTATTTAACAAAAAAAAAATTTTACCGGAAAGTCAAATTAATTTTTTATGAGCATTTTGTTAAGTTCAATTTTTTTTCGATATTGGATATTCACTTGTAAAATAACGATTTCTCATGAACGATATTCTTATTTTTTATAATTCAAAAACAAATATCTGTATAGATACTTCATGTTTGTACCAAATATTTATATTACTATTTTCTATACGTGGTACCTATAGTTTTAAATTATTTTGATTTTTTTAAGCTATATATAGACATTTTTATTTTCAAGTTTTTTTTAGTTTTTTTTCTAATAATATTGATAAAACAATGTTCATTTTTCCAAACAGCTTGAAAATCTAATGCAATGTTCCTCATAAGTTTTCATAATAGTGGTTCAAAAATATTAAAGATACGCGTGTACCAAGGAACGTTTTTTATAAGAATTTAAAGTTAAAATATTGACAAAATTACAAAATTTCCTCAAATTATTTTGAAGTTAAGCAATAAAAAAAAGATTTAAAATTAGATAAGGATTGAACATTTAAAGTAATATATCTTATAAGCAGTTGTAGTCCATACTGTAACCAAAAAAATCTAAAAGATATACTGCTGATTATTAATAGTAAAATAAATCATTTTAATAGTTAAAAATAATAATATCATAAAATATATTTAGTAATATGGTATTCGCACAGAATATTTGTTCGTATACAATGACAAAGGTATCATTGAAATCAAATTTAACATATTATCATGTATATTATCCATTATATGACCTTAGATCGTATAGTATAATATTATGATCTAAGATAGCGATCCACTCAAGACCTATACTCTACATATATACAGCAGAGAAGTACCCACTTGCCTGCCTTTTTTTAAAATCTTCCAAGAATTTATTGTATCCGATCTCACTTTAGTGAAATTATAATTTAAGTATAATCAGTATAATGCTATCGACTGTATTCAGCTACATATAATGATCATAATTTATTGTTTTAAATATGATTTGGACTTAAAACATTGATTTATTTATAGGTATTTAATGGTCTTTACCAATGATTAGGATAATAGGGGAGGGAAATTTATTTCATCGGGCATCACCAGCTGCTGGGTGATACTGCCTGTATGGCCTGTACGATACTAGGATTTCAGTATTTAACCATGTGTATTTCATTTGGTGTAACATTCACTGAGATCATAATATTGAGTATTTGTATGTGTGGTGTGCGCATGCGTTTGTATTCTTTCGGCGACCTTGGTGTACCCACAGCGTTGTTATAAACAACACGCTTACACGAGTTCACGGCCTATCGAATTATCTTATCACACAACGCGCTATCGTGATAAGATCGATACGGCGACGGCACTAGGCAGCTTGCTGCAGATGTGATTTAAAATATAAATTATAGTATATCATAGAACAATAGTTTAGTATTTAATATATTCTATTATAATTTATAATATTGAACTATTTTAATTTAAGTACAATAGTTTAAACCTCGCGAGTACTATACCGCGAGGTGCGTATTTTTCAAGCCTTATTATTTTATTGTTGCAAAAGTTAAGTGAATTGTGATCATAGACTTTTATACTAGTATATGATCTAAGATACTAATAGAGTATAGAGTCTATGATATAGTCTGTGATTGTGATTTGTGAATATAACGATAAGCAGCGTCATAGGAGCAATTTCAACTTTTGGCTTGGGGGGGCTGAATATATTAAAGGCAAGCAAACCGTTGCATTAAAGCATATTAAAATTGTAGGTCCTAGTTTTTAGGGGGGCTTAGCACCCCCAAGCCTCCCAATTTGCGCCTATGAGCAGCGTCATTGACATTTGACAGCCCTCCCGCGCCAATCGGAATGGGAAGACGTCCAAATTCACAACAATAAAGTCGAGATTGCGTCCAAATCACCACTAGATCACGTCGTTTTCGGCCAGCGATTTCTTTATCTTCTCGCTCGTCGTTGGTCGTTCGCGAAATTCTCGAACGCCACCTCCACCCTTTCACCCATGCAAAATGTTCAAACTACAACAACAATAATAATAATAATAATAATAATTCGGCGTATTGCGCGTTTGTAAAAGGTGCGCGCGCACGTGCTGCTCTCGTACACAACGACAGTGTTTATGGCGTGTGCGCTTGCGCGCGTTGATATGTGCGAGTGAGTGCGCGCGCGTGTGACAATAATATTATTGCCGTAATGCCGTGACAGTGTGTGAATGCGCGCGCATCGGCCATCACCGTCGTGTCCGTCCGGTCAAAATATCTTCTCAGCGCAGTACACGTTTTTTTTTACACAACATTAAATATCGATCGTCAGGATTTTTACATTTTTCCTATCAATTTTGCTACCCATCGCCTGCCGTATACGACGAGTGTCATACAATATTGTGCAAAGCCCCGTGTACCAAAGTAACTGCAGACTCCTATCTCGTTGACGCGACTACGATATTGAATATTAGTGATCTGTCGAACACCGGAACAGAACGCATAGTGTCGTTTTATTCAGTGGCGTCAATCCAAGACGACAGCCTCGTCCCAAACCATCCGGAGTGACGTACACCGAGCTGTCAACGACCGTGACTGTTTGAACGACTTGGTGGTGGAGCGGTCTCAAGGGTCTGCGGAACGCTGGTGGTAGCAGAAGTCCCAACGTCAGCGTCCATCCGACGCCGTGATCGTCCCTTCGATCGTGGAGGTGTAGAACAAGCAAAAGTCAGTCCGATGTGCCGCCATGGCGACCGCCACCGCGTCCGCCGTCATCGTTCTGTTCCTGTTGCTGCACATGTCAACGGTCGGCAGTGTCGGTGAGTACACAAACATGATTTCATAATCTTAGTTGTGAATAACATAACAAGATTCATAGCAGCGGTCAACAATAATGCCCCTGTTAAGACTCTCATGAGTGACCCTAGTCCTATTTTCAGTTTAAAGTGTATGAATAAAATCATAAAAATCACATTTTGTGAAAACATTTAATATTACTATCATAATTTCTAAAACTCGACGATCGTCTTCGTCATCTCTTACACCATCTTACACTAACTAGTAACTACGGTATTCTGTTCTGTGTTCGACGATGTGCCTACCTAATATTATTGTTATCATCCCGTTTCTGAACAGAGAATTCGGCGACCTAATGAAGCGTGATAAATGATAATTACTGTTATTGTTATTCGGCCGCACGTGATAACGGCGACAGGCCGAGTGTACTACGATCGAGCCATGTGGTTTGTCTCGGAATGTCGAAATTCGTAAAACGTCACTTATCGCCACTGCCAGTGGCAGCGGTATTCCGTTATTATTGCCGCCTGATAAAATATTATGTTTTTTCACTTTGTTTTAGTTATTCAACGTGTTTTCCTACCGTTGTTGTCTGCTCGCCCGGCCCGCCGCCGATCGGAATTGTCGATCTGATATCGATATGATGTTATACCTCTATCTACCTATACGCGTGCTCCCTTCCCCGTTCCCCCCACCAACTTTTAATGCCACAAATTAATGATCGATTACACGACTGAAACGTTATGTTAGTAATGTTAGCTGTTACCTCAACGTTTAGGGCCTCAGACAACAATTGCCGTCATTCACACCGTTTGCCGTTTATACTTTTATTTAGATTTTAGACAGTCGCTGAGAGTGGTGCGAACGTGTCTTATAATAATAATAATGATAATAATATTATACAAACAAATTCTGATTCCTGATCGATTTCATATTCCAAATGCAAACGCTAACAAAATTGTACCTATAAATCATGTGATCTCTCGAGCTGTGTATATTTAATTTCTCGTGTTGAGATAAATAGATAATCACGTACCACGTATCCACGTACCCAAAAAAGATATTTAAGTCGTTTAGGGTTAAAAGTTACCTAGCCTAACAATTAACGTAACTTTATATTATTACACCGTTATTATACCATTATTAGTTGTATACGTCGACTTTATCACAAAACTACCTACTTATATTGGTTTGATGTTTGGAAAAGTGATGTTTATTCTTTCTCATATAATATTATTTGTAATAGTTCTAAGCTCCTAGAGCACGATCACCCAGACTGTTATTTATATATATATTGTATACCTACCTAATATATTATAATTTTTGGGTCCCGTTGCGTATTTTTCCTTTTCAAATATAATAATATTATCTTGATGTTGGTGAATTTCTAATGTTTCAAAGTCCAACCAAGCTGTTAGGTAGATATATGTTTGCTTTATGTACAAAATAATGTAAATATTTGTTTTTAGTTGTATCAACCTAAATATTATACAAAAAGCAGCATCATGTAAAATACATATATTATATTACTATTTATAGGTAGGTAGCATTTAATAATAAACGAAAAATATTAATAAAAAACATACATGATAATATTAGGTACGAAGTATAATGGTTGTCTTGGGGGTTATTACTTATTACATATGGCGGGGGTTGCCAGGGGTACCTACATTTTTAATCAATAATTGGACCGAGGTTTTATTGACGAATTGAAGGTTACAATATCTGTCTGATATTTTACTAGAGTTGTATCCTTTGACATTCAGCTACATAGTATTGTTCTAAATTTTATTTACTTAATTTTTTTTCAATGACATGTTTCATTGATTAGAAATTCAGTATTATGTACCTACTTATACCTATATAATTCGTGTTCCAGAAACAATACTAATAGGTAACTCACTAATTTATTATTATTAATATTCTTAAAGAATATTTATTGTTATTGTGTAGTGTTTAATAAAAGTAAGAAAATGTTTTAAATCTTTATACGACAATTATCGTATTCAAACTAATATTACCCAACGTTTCTCCCCCTACAAAAAAAAAAAAAAAAACAGCTAATGGCTATAATAGTTTGCCGAGCTTAAGCTCGATAAAAAAAACTAATATAATCAAAGTCTTAGTTTGACTGCAGCATAATATTTACATTATGCTCTTAAAATATTTTTGCCGATTTCTCGATTGTCTGGAGAATTGCTTAACTTCTCGAAAAATTAATTCTTTTCAGTAAAATTTTAATTACCTTCTTAGAGATGCTGCATAAAACTTTTTGATCTTTTTATCAATCTTTAAAGTGTTGAACTCATAAAAATTAAAGCACATCCCTGTTGGAAACTATCTAATTCCCTCTCACGCGCAGAATCTAAAGTAAATTATATTAAATAATCCAAGAAAATAAACGTGTAACGTACGTCTTATATTTGTTGTAATATTTTTCTGGAAATGTACGGTGTTTAAACAGTAGATACTGCAAGTTGTATAATAATATGTAAATACCTAACGTTCATAAGTTAAAACTTTAAATGTTTAATAACTAGTCCGCAAAAATAATTTATTTGTGATAAAATCTGGAAGGAAAGTTGTTTGTGAAAATATAAATTTAATATAATTTTATTAGTTAACCATACAGAACTAATTAATCAGCATGACAACTGACAAGTACCTAGATAGGGCCATACAAAAATAGTATAGAAACTAATAAGAAATCAAATGTTATCAAAATAATTCCCATAGTTAAAACATTGTATTTATTGTTGTAATCCCAGATGGTAATGTTTATTGGTACGTATTTGTTTTTATTTTTAAATGCTTAGTTTCAAATTAATTTAAATGAAAATTATTTTAACTATAAATGTACTTACATTTAAAAAGTACATTTTCAAAGTATAAACAATTAATTAAGTTGAGATTTCAAAACACTTTATTTTTATTAGCTACTTTGAAGACGCCTCATCCTCATGTATACGTCTTACAAACGTCAACATAGCAAATTTAAGTTCAGCAGAATCAATTTTGCGTTGTTAGCATTTTTAATATCAGTCAATTGACCCATAAATTATTATAAAACTTCAAGCTAACATAAAATTAGTTCTGCTGAACGAAAATTTGTAATGTTGTACGTTACCGTGTTACACGGCGGAGACAACACATGCATGGCCGCGTGGGTGTAATACTATAGCGTCTTAAAGGTTAAGTTTATTTTCACGATTGAATTTGAAATCTTAGTCTTATCTAGACTTAATCTAGAAATAAAGTACAATATTGAGAATTTAACAACTTTAATATTTTAATATTAACAAGAATTTGAACATGTTATACCTATGTATAACATAATCATAATTTGTTGTATTTTTACTATTTTTTGCTTGTGTAGTTTTAAGATTTTCTATAGGATTAGAATCCCTCTATTAGGTAGGTAATTATAACTAAAAATAGTTTATGGATAGATGGTACATGAAGTTTTCAACTAGTTGCTTACATTAGTTTTACTTCAAATGTTGATAGCGTGAGATTTCTGAGCTAATTATCTAACTTAAAATAATTTTTTTTGATAAAACTGATTAGTAATCAATAATCATAAATGTACTTAGGTACCTATATTTATTAATTACTTATCTCTACAAATAGTTGTTTAGTGTTTACGTATTAATGTGATTGTAAATAATATATTTACTACTAAATTTAATACTTACCAAATCATTAACCTATTTTAATTACTTAACGATGTTCCGTTCATAATAATTTATCATTAAAAAATCGAATACATCATATTTATAATTAATTTATATAATAAAAAATATTTGTGCATAAAAATGTTTATTTTACACTGGTGATATTGAACATTTGAATTGCAACGTATTAGCCAATGTAGTGTAGCGCTTGTAAGAGAGTTAGATATTTGTTTATCATCTCGAGGGATTCTGCCGGAGGCTGTATAGTATGCGCTTGTTATTATTGCCAAAAAAAGAACAGCTGCATAATACTGGCAAACTGTCGGCAAAATGGGCACCGGAATGGATTTACTGAAAAGAAACGATTTATTGTTGGTCCAAATGAAAAACTGGTTTCTTTGAATCTCTTTCTGATATTGTGTATAGGCCACCTATGCCTCACCACGGGTGTGGGACATAACAAAGGTTATATATGACTGGTGGCGAGGGTTGGGTTCTACTGGAGATGCCTACAGTATTGCTGCAGTAAACACACCATTCAATACCATTAAATAGACCATTAAATATCGACGACGCAAAACTCATATTTTTACATCATCGTGTCTTTTTCATGATTTTTCATGTTCAGGAATGTATCGGTTTTTCTGATTTATATTCGCTACTTATAGTCTTCTGAATTTTGCAAGTCTAAAAATTAACAAATGGACTTTATAAGAAGGTTACGCCTTATAGTATATGGTTAATAGTTGAGCTAATAGTCATATAATTTTTTTTGACAGTAATTTAGTTTTATTATTCATTTGTTATTCATGGAAGTGTCTATTTTATAAATAATATTAAACATTGATGAACAAAATATCCAAAATACTTACGTATTTTTCTTTGAAGCCGCTTCCCCATCCCGGCCGCTCTATGTCTAAATGTTTACACTTTTATATGATAGCAATGATAAATATGATAAAATATAAACATTGCCGTTTAGACAGAATATGGCAACACAACTTCAAAACATTGCATGCCTGTTGTATAGTAGTCGGCTATCTAGTTGTTCTAGTTCTATATATCTATGGTCTCGCATACTTTTACCTAAATGTGAATGACATTCTTAAAATTTTTATTTTACAAATCAATTAATAATATTATGCCTATCCAGATATTATGAAAATTACCTATAAAGTCACCTAATTAAAGTAAAAAATGTATAGTCCCGTATAGGACATCGTCTGTAGAATTTAATTCGAATAAAAATAGCTTTTACATCAAGATTAATATATCACAATCAAAAATAATGAATGTTTTAAATATTTAATATTATTGAATATTGTTACAAAAACATATTTGAATAAAAA